CGACGCGCCCTGGTCGCCTCTCCTCGCCGGCAGCTCGCCCTTCGGCGAGGGCGGCGCGATGTGGCCCATGCGCGCCACCTTGGCCTGCACGTACGAGAGGCACAGGTCCGACACGTCCGCCTTCCACAGCGACTCCATCCTCACCACCGTCACGCCGAGCGCCCGCAGCGCGTTTGCCTTGAACGGGTTGTTGGAGAGGAGGCGGATGGAGCGAACGCCGAGGTTGCGCAGCATGAGCGGGACGCACGTGTACGTGCGCGCCTCGTCGGGCTCGCCCAGCGCCCGGTTCGCGTCCACCGTGTCGAGATTCTGCTCGTGCTGCAGCCGGTACGCCGCAACCTTTTTTGCGAGGCCGATCCCGCGCCCCTCGTGCGGCGTGTAGATGAGGACGCCGCCCTCGGCAGCGATGAGCCGCTGCGACTCGCGCAGCTGCGCCTCGCAGTCGCACTTGACCGACCGCAGTATCTCCGACGTGAAGCACGCGTCGTGAAGCCGGACGAGCACGCCCTCCCGGCCGTCAAGGTCGCCGCTCGAGGAGACGACCCACGGCTTATCCGGTCCAGTGGCCGGGTCGTGATACACTTGCATCAGCACCGTGCCCTCAGCCGTGGGAAGCGTGCACGACGACTCGAGCGTAGCCATGCCGGAAGAGGAGTGGAGCACGTAAGAGCACGTAAGGGCCCGGCGGGGGCGGAGTCTCGCCCAAGCTCAGCCTAGCTCGTCGTTTGGCTCTTCGGCGAAATTTCTCATCGAGCCAGTCCTCGCCGTAAAAGGTGCGAGCCCTCGCCCGTAAAAGGTGCGCGAAGGGCAGAAGGCAGAGAAGGAGCGCGACCGCAGCAAGCGCAAGCGGTCGAGCAGAACACCGTCGCGAGGCCTGCTTGCACCCGTACCCGTCGCACCCGACCTCTCCCTTCTCAACGGCGTTCCTAACGCCCAGCAAGCCCCTACCTCCCCCGCCGCCGCTGAGCAAGCACCCGAGCCGGCCGCCCCTGGCGCCGCTTCGTCGCAAGGCGCGGCGCAAGCGCTTGCTACGATGGCGCTGCCGACTACGATGGCGCAGACAGACACTGCCCAAGGACATTGATTGAGAAAGTGCTCGGACGCCGAGCTGGAGGAGCACTTCTCCGCGGTGCGCCCACCTTTCTCAATGTACGTGGCTCTTACGTTCCTGTATTTCTTCATTTTCCAGCCCTTCGAAGCCCTGGCTCATCCAACGCTTCTTCTCCTCCCCCGACATCCACGAGGGAAACGCTCTCGCCGAGCGCTGCTGGGGAACCCTCCTTCACTGCACGCGCACCGCTCTCGTCCACGCTGGGGGAGATCGGGAGCACATTCAGTTCTGGCCCTACCTTTTCAGCCAGTTTGCCCGCGTCCACAACCTCCTACAGACGAACAGGGGCTCCAACGCTGAGCCACGATGGGTCTCGCCTATCGAGGTCGCCAGCGGCCACCCTCGCAACTACGCCCTCGAGAACTTCAAGGTGATGCTCTGCGACTGCTCCTGCGTCCTCCCCGAGTCGCTCCGCGCGCACGACCTCACCCCCACTCGTCTCAAGGGCATCAACCTCGGCCACGACCCGCGGCGCTCCAAATACCTCGTCTACATCCCCGCCGTCCGGCGGATCATCTCTACCGCCGACGTCATCTTCGACGAGTTCTCCTTCACCACCCTCGGCGGCGCCTGGCAACCCTTCAAGATCCGCGGCGCCGTCGAACAAGAACGCCCTCAAGTCCCCGAGGCGATCGTCCGCGCCGAGCCTCCCGCCGCACCAGCGGCGCCAAGGGGCGCGCCCATCGCCCCGCCCGCCGCGCGAGCTGCGCCCGCTCAGCCCGCCGTCCCGCGGCGCTCACCTCGGATCGCCGCGCTCGTCTGACCAAGCTGTACTACTCCCACGTTGTTCAATTGAAGACATCCAGTCGACCGCTCCGATAGTCTACTACCTTGAGCCCGGGAGACGGAAGGTCACATGCCACGTTCACTAGCTCGCGCCTCTGATCAGCGTGACAATTACTTCCTTCACACTCCGCTGTTGTCTGCCGCATCTGAAGACCGCGCAGACAATGGGGGAGTGTTGGGAGTGTGAATACCCCACTCGTGTATATAGAGAGATGTCCCTGTTGATTACTGTCCGATAGTCGAGATGCCTTGTTCCAGAGGGATGTGTCCTGGACGGCGTCTCGTCGTGGTCCTTCAGGACGATAGCTTTGTCCCTTTCAGGATGATGGTGATCTTGGTTTGACCGTTCCTGTACGCCTCGGTACAGACCCTCG